CACGGGAGGGATGGCGAGACCAGACGTGAGACGGGGGAGTCGGGTCAGGAGACAAAGGAGGGGACACAGGAGGGGAACGAGGGGGGAAACGGGCCGGAGACGCGTCCGGGGGAGGGAACACAGGGCCGGAGACAGTAGGAGGAGGAGGCACGGGCACGGGTCAGGGGATGGAAGGCCGAGTAGGCGAAGAGCGGACACCGGCGGGGACTGCTGTGGCGGCAGTGTGACGCCGACACCGGGACGCAAGCTGCCGGGCGGCTACCTCCAGAACACTCCACACCAGCACCCCCAGAAGAAACACCCCAGAGCTTAGAACCCCTCAAGCACCGGTACCACCCCCAGGACCGCCGGGAAAAGCAACGACAGGTGTCCCAAGACTAGTACCCACCCCAACTCCAGCACCCCTAGAGGCAACCAACTGCTGCGGCGACGGCTGTGGCGGCGGCGGTCGCAACGACGGCTGCGGCGACGGTGGCGGCGGTGACGACGGCTGTGACAGCGGTGGCGACTGCGGTTGCGGAGGCGGCGGAGGAGAAGACACTTGAGAAGGGGCTGGCGGCGAGGATTGCGCCGCAGGACTACGAGAGTCAGTAGACTCCTCAACCGGTACAACCGACGTAAGTGGGGTGACGTGGGACACACCAGAGGGGGCAGGACGGGAGGGGGAGGAGGAGGGGCGGCGACGACGACCAGGGAAGGGGTGACCAGGAACAGTGGGGGGGGTAACCGGGGGACCTCGGTGGGGGAAGCGGCGGAAGAAGGAGACGGACTCGTCAAAGGTGACGTCACGGGAGTGAAAGAACCTGTGAGACGGCGGGTGGTAGAAGTGCCAGTCAGACGCGTCAAGGGGGAAGCCGAGGAAGACACATGGAAGGGTGCGGGCAGTGAGCTTGTCTGTGCCAGAGGCACGAACGTGAGCAAGACAGCCCCAGACGTGGAACGCAGACGCGTCACCAGGTGACCCAGACCAAAGGAGGATCGGCGAAACCTTAGGCTGCTGGGGGTGCGGCCACATGTTAAGCTGGTGAGCGGCGTAGCGAACTGCGAACGACCACAGAAAATGGGGTGCACCGGCATGGATCATGGAGGTGCGAGCCACCTCCATGACCAAACCGATGCGTCGCTCAGCGACCCCATTCTGCTGCGGAGAGTTCGGCAAGGTGAACGTCTGGGTGATGCCCTCCGCAAGACAGAAACGACCAAGGACACCAGAGGCAAACTCGCCACCACGGTCGGAGTGGAGGCGCAAGACAGGGAGACCGCGACGGACACGCGCAGTGACAAGCCACGGGATATGAACGTCAGGCACGTCGGCCTTCCGCTCCAGGGGAACAGAGTGGTGTAGCACGTGTAGTCGTCGACAAGCACTAGGAAGTAGCGCTCTCGACGCGGCCCATGGACGGGGGGGGCCCCAGACGTCCATGTGCAGAGTCTGTAGCGGTGCGGCGGTAGGGGGAAACGAGGAGGAGTGAGGAGCACGGCGAAGCCGGCCCTCGACACAAGGCGTGCAAGGTGGGGTAGGGAGGAGGGAAACTCAGAGAACGACCCAGGGAGGCCTAGGACGAGACCGTGCTGTAACATGTGACGCAGACGCGGGAGCGCAGGGTGATCTAGACGGTGGTGCCACAGGAGAGTCGGTGGTGGTGAGTGACTGACAGGAGCAGGCAGCATCAACCTGGGTAGACGCAGCCACCTGAGGGGGGTCCCAGGGGGGTTACAGTGTCCAGTGTGAACAGTCCGGACACCGGGTCCCGGGGAAACGTGGTAAGGGGGGCACCAGAGGCGGCCTCGGTACAGACAGCGTACCGCTCGTGACCAGGGAACGTAGTGGTGACGCCAAGGTCCTGGAGGCAGCCGACACCAACTAGGTTCCTGGAGAACGAGGGGATGTGCAGTCCTGTGAGAGAGCCCGAAGGAACCGCCGGGCAGGGGAGGATGGTGGAACTGCGGGCGACTACAGGGCTAGAGGAGGGGTCAGCCAGGGAGACGGCGGCAGGGACAGGAAGCGGTGTCAACGTGGTGGAGCCGCGGAAGAAGCATCGAGAAGCGCCAGAGTCGAGGGTGAAGGAGAGCGCGGCAGTGGCGGCGGAGGCAAAGTAGCGACGGAAGCACCAAGGCTAAACAAAGCAGGGGATCCTACGCCTGACGCAGCAGGGGAGTCTAAGGAAGGCACACCTACACTAGGCAACAAGGGGTAATAAGACGGAATTACACTAGAGTCATCAGCATGCATCACATGCAGAGCAGCAATAATCTCATCCATGTCCAGATCAAAAATCTGAACCCTACGACTAAGCAAGCTGTGCCAGTCTGGGAGCTCGGGCGACGGGCCGAAACGCTGACCAAACAGGTCGTCTAGGCGACGGAAACAGCGGACGGAGGTATGACTGATCTTACCGCAAACGAAGCCACGGCGAGGACCAGTCTGAAGCAGGTACTGACAGCGCTCGGCACCCGAACCACCACTCGGCAGCCCACCACGCGCACCACCACCACGTCCAGCGCTGCCACCAGCGCCGGGCCACCCAGGCGGAAGACGACTCGTCCGCCTCTGCTGCTGCTGCGACTGCTGCGGCTGCGGACGGCTGCAGCTGCGGCCGCTGCGGCTGGAGCGGGTCCGGCTGCAACACCGGCGACTGCTGAGACGGCTGCTCGGCTGCACCTGTCAGGGTCCCACGTCAAGCACCACCACTAGGTGACCCAACTCCAACACCACCTACACCCGCACCCCCACCCCCGTCGCCACGTCCAGCCTTGGGGCGGCGACCCTTCCCCGGACGAACCTGTGCGGCAGCGGCAATCTCAGCCACAGCAGCAAACCGTCAAAGAAGTGCACTGAGCGGGGGCACAACCCTGAAAGATAGGGACCGGCACAGTACCGCTGGTCTGAGCGATAGAGCGGTGGCGGGCCTCTATAGTGGACAGGGTGTCAACAAAGTCAGTGTGGGTAAGGTCTGCGGGGTGGACGCTAAGAAAGCGGTCACGGGCAGTGGCAAGACGGTCAGGGAGGCGGTGGCTAGCAGGTAGAGAGTAGAGGTGAGGGCGGCTGGTGGGCTAGAAAACTGTGTGGGGGTGCAGGCAGCACGCCAGGTCTCGTCTATGGTGCGCAGGTGAGCGGCCAGGTCGGCAACAGTTGGGAACGACGCAAGGTCAGGAAAGAGCATGGGGAGGATCAGACGACCAACCGAGGCAGCAGGCGGGGTGGAATAGCGCTGGACAACAGCATCTAGGAAAGCCTGGGCAGTGGTGATAGTCCTGAAGCGAGGTCGCTTGGACAGGGGGAGGGCATTGCTAATAGCAAGCTATGCAACAGCGTCACGGGACAGCCAGCCAGAGCGAACAAGGGCAGCGGCTGCAGCGGACTCACGCTTAGCGGACGAGGGTCAGGAGACAGTGCAGCGGGGGGGTCAGGGCAGGGGAGGGTACATCAAGATGGACAGACGGCGAATGGCCATCCTGCCGCTGACCAGTGAGATGGCGACGGAGGTCAGCAAGCCACGCATCAAACTCAATCGGCTGGCCCTCAGCGTCAAAGCAAAGCACCGCCGCCATGAGAGACAATAGAGGGCAATGTAGAGTAGGACAGTGCGGTGCAGTGCGGTACAGTACGGTACAGTGCGGTGCAGTGCGGTACAGTGCGGTGCAATGCGGTGCAAAGCGGTGCAGTACGGTACCGGGGGGGGTTCGGAGGGCGGTGCTGATTGGGAAGAACGGGCCGAACCCGAGGCAGCGGCGGGCCGGCGACGGCGCGAATGCAGGGGCCGGCCGGCGGGCGGCGATTAGACACGGCCGCGACGGCGGCCAGGGACAGCCGCGACGGCAGCCAGGGGCAGCCGCGACGGTGGCCAGGGACAGCTGCGACGGCGGCCAGGGACAACCGCGACGGCGGCGAGGGGCGGCCGCGACGGCAGGAGCGACCGTGAGGCGGCTGGAGACGGCAGCGGCGGCGGCTAGGGGCGGCCGCGACAGCGGGGCGGCCGGGACGACTAGGGGCGGCCGAGGGACGGCGGGAAGCAGCCGCAACGGCGGTTAGAAGCAGCCGCGACGGCTAGGGGTGGGCGCAAACGGCCAGGGGCCTGCGAGGAGCGGGCGCGAAACGGCCAGGGCGCCGGCTAGGAGGGGCTCAAACGGCCAAGGAGCCGGCTAGGGACGGGCGCGAACGGCCAGGGGGCCTGCTAGGGCGGGCGCGAACGGCCAAGGGGCCGGTTAGGAGCGATCGCGACGGGTAGGGGCCGGCTAGGAGCGGGCGCGACGGCCAGGGGCCAGCTAGAGACGGGCGCGACGGCTAGTGCGCCGGCTAAGGGCGAGCGCGACAGCCAGGGGGCCAGCTAGGGGCGGGCGCGAACGGTCAGGGGTCGGCTAGGGACAGGCGCGACGGTCAGGGGCCGGCTAGGAGCGATCGCGACGGTCAGGGGGCTGGCTAGGAGCGGGCGCGACGGCCAGGGGGCCAGCTAGAGACGGGCGCAACGGCCAGGGGGCCGGCTAGGGACGAGCGCGACGGCCAGGGGGCCGGCTAGGGCGGGCGCGAACGGTCAGGGGCCGGCTAGGAGCGATCGCGACGGTCAGGGGCCGGCTAGGAGCGGGCGCGACGGCCAGGGGGCCAGCTAGAGACGGGCGCGACGGCCAGGGGGCCTGCTAGGGACGAGCGCGACGGCCAGGGGCCGGCTAGGGACAGGAGCGAACGACCAGGGGCCCGGCTAGGGACGAGCGCTACGGCCAGGGGCCGGCTAGGAACGTAGGGGCGGAAGCGTGACGGGCTAGGGGGGATCTAACCTACTATGATACCATATTAGAAAGAGAATGATTGAACTAGAATGTGTGTGTACAAGGATATATAGACTAGGGTGTTATACCCTCTAAGGCACAATCCAGTATAGTCTACAGTAACGACCTAAGTTACATTTGACAAGAGGCTCCCGTGCCTGGCCCTAATTTTTAAAACCATGACATGCCTAACTTAGGGGCTATCTGCAGCAGTTTTCCCACAAGTTCATCCACGTGCTCATCCACAAGCTTTATTACAGGGTTTACCCTTGATAACAGCAGAACAGTAACCCCAGCGTTTGCATTCTTACGGGCGTGATTGATTTCAACTAGAAGCAGACCTTGTAGTCTGATAAGAATTTCCTTAGAAAGCATTCAGGTTTACACAGCAACTGCCGACTTGGAGATGATGCGCTCATACGCTTCACGGAGCTTCAGTCCAACCATTGTCTGGAAGAGGCCAGTGCCGTTGGTGCTGCCAGGGAAGTCGGAGTTCTTCAGCATTTGCTGGGTGACCTCACCGTAGAACTTCGTGGAGGTGTTGCTCAAGTGGCTCTCCACATAGATCAGCTCCTCAAGCTTGTCGAACTGACCATCCATCTCCAGCACAGACACCTGCAAGATGGAGTAGTGTGAAAATGTTTGCAGAACATTGAGTGCGTCCGTGTACAATGGTAACTTCTTTCCGTGTTTGGAAAAGAAAAAGAAAAAGATGGTCGTACCTCATTGCCGAAGTAGGTGTCAGGGCCATAGTAGAACTTAATGCCAGGGTATGAGCATGTCAGCTTCCTTCCGCAGGGAATCCATGAGATGCTGGAGCCCTCATCGAACAGGTACACTGGGTCGAAGTTGTCGAGACCCTCCTTCTGAATCATGCGCACGCGTAGGATCTTGCCCTCGTTGTCGTCAGGATGAGCTGAGTGGGGAGCACCTGGATGACAACATCGGCGTGCTGCTTCTGGGGATCTGGATATAACATGGGAGCAAAAATCAAGTGTAGACAGGTAAACGCGTAGGGCAGAAAGTCCGGAAGAAACGAAATGTGACCAATGCTTACCAATGTAAGCATCAAAGTCGGGCTTCCTCGCTTGGATGGAGGCCTTGATGCTCTCCAGGCTGTGGCCGCGCTCAGCCATGTCTCTCTGGATCTTCCAGGCAAACTTGACCTCGTCGCTGATGTCAAGGTAGATGCTGAAGTCAATCAGATCACGCACGCGCTCATCATACCTGAAAGACAAAACGCAATCTTCTGTCAATCGGTTTGTGGGATACGCACTTGCTGCAAACCCGTAGGATAAATGTGGAAACTACATACATGGGGTGCAGACCCTCGATGACCAGAATCTTGGGGACTCGATCAGTTCCGGGGGGTCCAGAAGACCAGACACGTGGTTGTAGATGGGCTTCATGACGGACTTGCCCTCCTTGAGAGCCTTGACCTGCTCGTACATCAGGTCGAAGTTGTTGGCCTTGGGGTCAAGAGCGGTAACATTGGCCTCCTTACGGCCATTACGGTCAAGGAGTGATAGTCATCGAGGCAAATGACGGTGGTCATGTCGCTAAGGAGGGTGTTGGAGTCGGGGTTGCCACCCTTGGAGGAGCAGCAGAGCCACCGAACACACCAGTCATACGCCTCATGAAGGTGGACTTCCCGCATCCTGAATCCGCGGCAAGTCCAACCACAACAGTCTTCTCACCGGCGGCCTTGCAAACAACGAGGACGGTCCTCTTGCCTGCAGCGTGGGACCTGCTGGAGGCCTTAGCGGCAATCTGCTTGCCTGAGAAGGTGCTGCTCAGGGAGGCGCTGTGCATCTCACTGCCGAATGCACCAACGCTCTTCTTGGGGGCAGCGGCCTTGAGGCCAAGTGCCTTGGTCTGAATGCCAGCAGACACGGAGCTGGAGAGAGCGGCAGCCATGGTTGGTAAGTGACTGAGCTACCTTGAGAAATGTTCTCCAGAATCACTGACAGAAGGGGCTGCCAGTGTAAGGAGGAAATGGCAAACCAAACAAAGAGTGCCAGGAGGAGATGCCAAAGAAGCTGTGGTCTGGGCAAGCCTGATCCACTGATGGAGGGCCGCCAATCCCTCGACTGGATGACGTGGCCCGAGCCTACTAGGCACTCCCCGAACAAAATGACCCACACGAGGAGCACCACAAGTATCGGACCTTGCTTGTGAGGACAACTGATCTGTCACGGTGCCCTACCTTTGACTTAGGCTTGTGGTTACCCGAGGAACCGTCTGCTATGCCACGTAAGGGGAAATCAGTCCACGTGGAATGGGATGCTTTCGTTCGCTCTCCCCTCGCAGCCATCGAAAAGGTATGCGGACCTCATTCCTCGTCCTCTCTTTCGTGCACATAGGAACCAGCATGGCGAGGCCCGCGAAACTAGCGAGTTAATTGTTACAGTTACGAGCTGTGGAGCTACAGCAAGCCT